AGTCAATTCTGACTCCTAGTGCCCCTGTGTACAGTAGAGCGGAACCCTGCCCGGTCTTTTTGCACCATCCTCTCACTTCCAGCACTGTATGAGACAGTGTTCTGCTGCTATTCATAGGCTTTTCATGCCCAATTTTTGCGGGGGTGGGTGGCCAGGTCCTTCTTCCTAGTCTGTCTTAGTCTAGAAGCTCCACTGAAACCTGTCCACCATGGGTGACCCTGCTGGTATTTGAAATATCAGTGGCATATCTTTCAGCATCACAGCAGCACGGAACAACCACAGCATGACAACCAACAGACAGGTGGTGTGGTTCCCTGACAAGGAAAGGAACCCAGGCCATGATGGTGAAAGCGCCAAATCTTTTTTTTTTTTTTTTAAAGATTGGCACCTGAGCTAACAACTGTTGCCAATCTTCCTTTTTTCTTTTTCCTGCTTTATCTCCCCAAGTCCTCCCATACATAGTTGTCTATCTTAGTGGCAGGTCCTTCTAGTTGTGGCATGTGGGACATCGCTTCAACGTGGCCTGAAGAGCGGTGCCATGTCCGTGCCCAGGATCCAAACCAGCGAAACCACTTGGCCACGGGGCCAGCCCCTAAAGCACCAAATCTTAACCACTAGACCACCAGGGCTGGCAGACACGGAATACCTATAATATAATCAAAAAATTCAGACAGCATTTCTTAATTCTAACAGAGAGCAGAACGAACAGCTTACAGAGAAAGAGGAGGAAGGAGCAGGGAGTTAAGAAATCACTAATGAATAAATATTAAGCTTGTGAGCATCTAAGCAATCTACTTGCCTTCCTTTAAAAGTCATAAAGCCTATGTGGACTGGAGGAATCTGACGATAAAGACAAGGAATGAGTAAATGCTGGAGTATGTTACAAGAAGGAAGTGCTATGGAAAATAGCAGGATAAGCAGACTGGGAATGTCTGGCAGTATGACAGGGAGGGTGCAATTTGAAATAGAGTGGCGAGAAGAGGCCTCATTGAAAACTCAATTTTAAGCAGTGGTCTGAAGCAGACGAGGGAGTTTGGGGGTGGGGGGCTTGGTATCTGGAAGAGCATTCCAGGCAGACGAAACAGCCCGTGCAAAGGCCTCAGGCAGGCGCATGTGTGGTGAAGCGAGGGGCCCCAGCAGGAGGCTTTGATGTATCACGACACCCACTTAGTGCTGCAGAGGGTCTCTCAGGACACCTTCCTGCAGGAGACGGTGGAAACACTGACAGCAGCTGAACAGCATGGGACCTGGAAAATCAGTCACGATTACAGACTAGGGATGGAAGAGCAGCATCGCTGCGGGGCCCTGCCGTGTTCAGCACGTTTATCAAGCACTTACAGACACAGAGGGCTCCTCAATGTTACCCAGCTCTCTACAAGCGGTCACCAGGATTGAGCTTCAAAACCACCCCAAAACCCATGCCATAATACTTCACAGGGACAAAGTGCTTGGTAAAAAGCTTTAAAAAGCCCTACTCAAGTGCAGCTAGAGTGCAGTTTTTAAATTTTTATACAACAGTTTATGCCCCAAGGGACAAGATACAATAAGAGCCAAGAATGTGAGTTAATCACTGAAAGCAGAAACAGACTAGGAAGGTGACCCTGTATGCAGAGAACGCTGGAACAAGAGGAGGTAAGGGCTGGGGACGGAGGAACGCTGTGCTGGCGCAGGGCTCCATGGCGACACAGCGTCTTCAGAGGACAGGGCTCTGCCTAGCGGGGACCCAACAGTAAAACTGCGCGAGGGCCAAGGAACCATGGCAATTAGCCTGGAAAGAGCTGTAGGGGAAGCAGCGCCTTCTAGGGCTCTCCGCCCCCTGGAGAACAGGAAGTGGAAGCACGTGCATGCTGTGTGGCTTCAGCGACCAGAGCGGACCCAAGGGATGGAATGACAGGGGGCAGGATTTGGCTCAATCTAAGAAAGTGCACTTGAATTTTATCGCTACACATTTAAATGCATTATTCAATCTCCACAAGCACTCCCTGCATGGGATCGCCCCGCCATGCTGGGGCGCTATTTTTAAACATCGAAACTCCACTTCTGGCGTCGGGGCTGTTCTGTCGTTTCGGCCGCAAATCACAGCTCAGTCACCTCTCCGCGGCCTCCCTCTGGCCCTGTCCCTCCCCCTCAGCCCACGCGCACCCCACCCCGTCACAGGACCTGGGAGGAAGAGCCCTCTGCAGCAGGAGGGCCTCGCCACTGCAGCAGGGGAGGAGTGGGGCACCGCCATTCCGCTCACGCTGGCAGCAGAGGAGTCAAAACCCGGGCCCCGGGCCACGCGTCTCCGCCACCACGGAGCTCCACGCAGCAGGAGGCGCTGGCGGGGCGGCAGCTCCGCGGCGCCCCGACGTGGAGGGGCTGAGGCAGGAGGAGCCGCAGCCCGGGAGCACCGGAGGGACTTCCACAACCAGGGAGGTGACTTTATACTGGAAACGTTCGCTTCACTGATTTTATTTCTACGCTTATGAATTCTGAACACTTTTAAATAAAATGTCAGTAAACGCATCATGCTCCCGTATCTCAATCAGTATGGCAAGAGGCATAATTAATCCTATGCCACCGGTGAGAATTTTAGAAAGCTTGCACCAGTACACGGCTCCTAAGGAAAAGCTGGGATTTGAATGCAGTCGCTCTGCTCCTGCTTGCAGAGGAGGCGATCCTAAATGGGCTCTAAATTCCTTCCCTACATCAACACTGTGACCACCTCAGAGCCTCCCAGGCCCAGGAGGCCAGCTCTCTGCTTTCCTACCAATATGCCAGTGACCCCAGGAAAACCAGTCAGCAGGACATTTGGGTACTCCGTTGAGTATTATTTTGAGTACCATTTGCAGCAAGAGAGATGGACAATACCAAGTGCTCCGTTCTCAGTTGCCTAGAAACCATGCTGCCCAGGGTCCAGGGTATCAATGGGATCTGCTAGTGCTCTGACCCCTGGGGCAACAACCAATTACCCCATCTCATTCATTGCAAACTTCTGCCCTACAGTGTCAGCTAGGCCAGAATTCACCAAAGAACCCTGTCAACTGCAAATATCACACATAACAATGCACCTTGAGCTAACTATCCACCTCTTACAATATTCCCAGACTAAACTGACTAAAAAGAAAAGCTTCCAAAAGGAGAATGTGGACCCAAGCTTCCTTCCCTTTCCAATCCTAACGCTTCTCCGGCTGGGCTGACACAGGAGCCAGTCCTCTCACCTGCCCCCAGTGCACTCTACTCGCCCTCTCCGGCTTGGGGTTCTCCAGGGAAGCATCTGCCAGCAGTGACTAACCTTCCGACTCAGGTCCTCAGACACTGACTGGGAGATAGTAGTGTCTGTCTGGAAAGTGGCCACACTTCCGCACTCGGGACAAGAGTGACCCTGGGGTGGGGCCTGCAGAGATGGCCAAGTTTTCCTTAGAGGCCAGAGTTCCAACCTGGAGCACGGCCCTCGGGGCTGTGCACTGTACAAGCCTGATGATTTCTATAGCCACCAGCCAAGCAGACCCCTTGGCTTAGAAGTTTTAAAAGAAGCTTAGAGACGAAGGAACTGGGTCACACAATCTGGCCACCGGACATTACTAGACAATCTGAAAAAATGAAATCTTCAAAACTAAACTCTCTAAATTGATATAAATTGAAATAACTCAATTTACTGAAATTTTTTTAAAATCTCACTGAATTTATAAATGCAGTCTTTCTAGTGTTCTCTGATGTTGCTCCTGCTGGGAACAATAGTATAAGAGGCTGAACACCAGTGTTCCAATCTCATATTGGTAACAAAATAACGTGATCACTTTACATTAGCTATGTCTTTAGGTTTTCAAAGTACTTTTACATTTATAATTTAATTAATTCCATGAGATAGGAAGAGCCAACATTACTATAACCATTTTCCAACTGAAGGAACTAAGAGTAAATGAAGTTATATGATGTATGTCACAAAGCTTGCTGAGCCCAAACCGGGCTCTAGTTTAACTTGGCAGAGGATTCATTTTTTAAATTAAATATTAAGGAGAACTCTCAGGGAGGGGGGAAGGGAAGTGGGGAGAGAGAGAGAAGTGACAGAGGGGTGGGGGGTGAGGCGAACAAGCGGGGAGGGGTCCAATAGTGCCTCCTCCCGCAGGCAGGTACACAGAACCTCGTCTGAAAACTCTCAGATTAGCCTGTGCTGCTTCCTAAGAGTCGTACAGAAGTGTGTCAAGGGACAAGAGTGAATCCACACGACATGCCATCTCCTCAGATTCAGGTAATCTTGGCAGTTCTACTGTTTGCTTTGCTTTTTTGAGGAGAAAATGCTTTCTGGTTAAAAAACACTGTGGAAAGGAATTATCTGCTGTTGAAAGCTTATGATATCATTGGTTAGAGAAAAATCTTAATTTTAGTCAGAACTGCATTTAAACTCATGTTTTACATTATAACTCAACGTACGAAGGCCTAAAGACGGACTTTTCAGCACACTCTATATTTATTTGGGGAGGACAAGAAGCATGAGAGGGCACAAGACGGTCCTCTGATGCCAGAAGACTGAGTGACAGCAACTGACCCAGCAGGGAGCATCACAGTGTGACCAGAGTACTGGGATCGGGGGTAACTCTAAAACCACACCACGCGGAGGCAGCGTGCAAACCCACACTGCGACTGCAGACAGGGAACACAGACCAGCTTGGGAACACAGTGGGAAGGGAAGGAGGGAAGTGGGGGCAGCAGGCTGAGCCCCTCAACACTCCCACGGGCATGGTGGGTGAGCGGTCTCAAAAGCTCAGCAGGGCGACATTTTTAAGACAAGGTATTGCAAGACGCTGAGCCCTGGGATCGGTGTCCCTGGAATTTGGGAATCCTCTGGAAACAGTGATAGGCATGGTCATTGGAGCTGCTTGCCCAGGGAACTTTAAAATCAGGGGATGATTTGGACTGGAAATCTCATTTTGCCTCTTCTTCCACCAAATGTACTTTTGTTACAGGTAAAATGCACGCCAGAATCTAGCAGCTTCCTTTCTGCTAGGGGTGGGCCTTACCTTCATATCTGCCGGGAGAATCGCACGCTTTCTGGGGGGTTGCCACTCGGAGGAATATCTGCTGCCTCCACGAGTGTCTCCGTGTCTTTACGGGGGTCCCACTGGCATCCCTGAGATGGTTGGCTTTGGATTGAAAGTCCCTAAAATTACAAGATGATTGCTTTAGGACTGGTAGGGAGATAGAAACAGGTACTTTAGCTTGACTTTTTTTCTTTTTTTTTAAAACAGAGCACTAAACTACCAATTCTCTCTGTATAAGCAAACATAATTAGATAATCACAGGCACCAAATCAGGCTCATGGTGGGTCAACACTCCTGAAGGACTGCTTTCTCACAGGATGCTTTTAATGAACACAGCAAGATCACACCCCTTTAATTTATTTCTACTGTAAACGATATTAAGAAATATGCTGCACACATCGTTAGCTTCCAATTGGGCCTCTCTTGGTGCCGCTTCGGAAAAGAGAAATTGCCTAAAGGGGGCACTGTCACCAGGGCCGCCATCTGCCCTAGACTGTGTGTGGGAATATTTTCCCAGCAAAGCCTGTCTCTCCACAGATCACCACCAAAAATGAAAAAAGTTAAATTACACAGAACCATCAAGGCAATAATTATGCCGTCACTTGCTGATGATGATTGTTCCAACATTTGCATTTTTAAAACTACAAAACAAAGTATATTTATCAATGTACATAAATATAATCTCTAATCATTAATTTTCTTCCTATTCCCAGGACAACTTGGGGGAAACCCTAATTCACACCCGAGTATATCCCCACAACTAAGCAATCATCCAAACTTACAGATCAAACATCCTGATTTAACCCTGACAGCCACATGCTCACTATCCAGAAACAGTGCTATCTCTTAGAGAACTGGTTAAGACTTTCTTTAATCTTCTGATGATAACACCACATTAATAAACTAATCCTAGTCAAAAATGGAGAACAGGTCGAATGCACATTTTTTAAAATGACATTCAGTAAGAAAAAAGTTTAAGAAAGAAGATACAATAGATTTAGCTAAAATGACTTTTTAAATGACAAAAGAACAGCTAAAAATCCCTGTACATCCAACAACTCAACACTTCTACCCAGGCTTGAAATATCTAAATTAAACCCTACCTTTTTGTGTTCATAAAGTCAGAGGTGTTATTTTCATCTACAGGAGCCAGAAATTTTAGAAAATTTGGCACAGAGGAAGAAGAATGAAGTTTTTTCCGCAGGGCATTACGGTAGGAGATGCTGAGAGTTTGGTTGAAGAAAGAATTTAGGATAAAGAAATACAAACACACAAAGTATAAAACATAAACTTCAAAATAAAAGAAACATTTTAGTTCTAATGCTAAGAAAATTAAACCAGGTAAGAAATTAAAAATAGTTTACAAGTGAGATTTAACTTTCATTTTCCATCAGTAAAATTCCACTTTTAAATGAATGGAATCAATGAATTAATTGAAAAACATCAATCCATTCAGTTATGCAAGATGAATAAATTCTAGAGATCTGCCATACAACACTGTGCCTATTGTTAACAATACTGTGTTGTGCACATTGAAAATTTGTTAAGAGAGTAGATCTCATGTTGACCATTCTTACCAGAATGAAATAAAACAAAATAAAAATCAGTCCATCTTCCAAAATGACTGTTCCTTTCAAACTGGAAAAAATAATTTTCCTAAATTAATCAAGAAGTTTCTGATATGGCACAACTTGTAGTCCATATGGTCAAACACAGTGTTGTTAACCTGTGCATGTGTGTGAACTAGGGCAGGGGCAACGTGAAAATAAGGATATAAAAAACAGCTTGCCATCAAAGTCTGTTTTCATAATAATTGAGAAAATTAATGAATAGTGAAATTAAGTCGGTTCAAATGAGAGTGTGAAATAAAACCAAAAACAGACACACACACACACACACAAGCGGTGCCCCAGGTTCTCTGCAGAGACTTTCCCTCCATTCAGCACAATCCTGTGTGTGAACTTCCCAGGAAGACAAACGACACTGAACTTGCCATGCGAGTGCGCTCACCTCTTTGGCACAGCATTCCCACTTTGTTCTCCACTTGAGTTATGTTTTAGGTACTTAAAAAAATTTGGCGAGGAGGCGGAGGGGTTAAGACGAGGTGGAGGAGCAGGAGCTGAAGACTGACCTGAGCAACTTTTAGACTCGCCAACAGGTGGATGATCCACACTAAATAGCAATTAGAGAGAAAGCAGGGGGGATTAGAGGGGGAGAGGGGACCGCTGCAAGAAACACGGAGGAAACAGGAGAGAACGGACATGGCTGTGGGTGTCCCATCATTCCAAGAGGAAGCACCACAGGGTGAGAGGGCAGCTTTTCACTTCTCTTCTGCATCCCAACTCTTGCTGGCAAAGGTAGTTTTCATTTAAAAAAAAAAAAAAAAGAGTATTGTAAAATAAATCCTACTTTATTCTTATTGCCTGCCAAAAGCTATTTCTCTTTTTTCTTTTTCCTCTTCTTCTCCCCAAAGCCCCCAGTACATGGCTGTATATTCTAGTTGTAGGTCCTTCTGGTTGTGCTATGTGGGATGCCACCTCAGCATGGCCTGATGCGTGGTGCCATGTCTGTGCCCAGGATCCAAACTGGCAAAACCCTGGGCCGCCAAAGTGGAGCATGCAAACTTAACCATTCGGCCCCTGGGCCGGCCATCCTTGATCATTTCTCACATGTCTATGCACCCAAGAGTACTTTGCCTTCTATTCCCTTTTTAGGAACCAACAGGAAAAAAAAAACTTTTTAAAATTAAAACAAAAGAAAAGGAAAGCAAAACAAAACCCAGAGTTTTAAAAATACACCTCTCTTTTACACGAACAATAACCTGCCTTGAATTTCAATGTCTCATTTCCTGTACGTAAATGAGAAAAGAGTCCACAAGGAGGGCAGAAAGAAAAATAGGTGTGCTGGGGAGGGGGAGGTTTCTCCAGCCCTCTCATCACCTCTGTCCAGCGTGATCCATCAGGACGCTGCCTTCCTAGGGGAGACAGGCAATGCACCATCAGGGCCCCTAACTTCCTCCCACCTCTGGCTTGTGTAGAACAGAGGCTTAGCAAGAGAACTAGGAATCCCCAGACAGGAATGTTTCCATTAGCACAGAAAATGCCAGAAATAGAGGGGTGGGAACACAGTGGAGAGACCACACAGAAGTAGTGCGTATACAGGGTTTTAAGAAACAAGAACCGCATAAAGCCTCAAACTATGCTTGTCTCTAAAATGTCCTATTATTAAATGACTTCTGAAGTGTGTCCTGCTTTAGGATCATAGTTATCCAGCCGAATTCCAAAGAGCCATCATAGCTATTTTCAATGACTAGTGACTGAAAACAAAGCTGAGAGGCTCTCCTCCATTGTTCGAGGATTGTTAACGCCGTCACTTCTTCACTGGACACATTCCAAGCACCTCCGCACGGACCCTCCATTATCCGTGTGTGACCTGTGCCGACACACGTCCTGCGGCTTCTGTTGTCACCAGTAAGAGGAAGGCAGCGACTGTACAGAGGTGTGGCCCTACTTCATATTTATAAGGTGAAGGATTGTAAAAGATTTTAAAAGTTATTTTTAAAGATAACTCGGAGTCCATTTATGGTCTCTGACACTTAGGGTCAAATTAATTACCAAGGGACCCCAGAAAGAAGCAGGAGAACTTCGGCTACTATATTGCTTACCCATCTCTATAACCAGGAAATTCCAGTGCTCATTAGAGCCCAATTATTAAAATTAGTACATCTTGGTTAGAAGAATCTAGAGTTCTCACACCGATGGAGATTTTAGAAAACATCTATTCCAATTTTGTCACACAGAGAAGTTAAGCAAATTTGTCCAGGTCACAACCAGTTCAAGGCAGAGCTGGGACCAGGGCCCAAGGCTGCTGCGTCCAGCACAGGCGTCCGGTGGACTCTCACGCTCTGCTCAGCACTGATCACGCATCTGCGTCCCACTGCAGAAATGTTCCAGGTTTCAAATGAGCAGACTCACCCACCTGCCTACTCACTACTTTCCCTTCAAGCCAGCAGCTACGTTGCAAAGTCAATACTGCCTCTCACACTGTTTGAAGAAGGATTATTAGACATTTTAAGGGCTATTTCTTCTCAGTTTTACCTGCTTCCTCATAATACCTGTACTTCTTACTTGAATAAGTAACAAATATCTCTTATATCCACATACTCCCCAACACAGGAAGGTGGGAGGAACATGCCAGCGCTTCAAGTTTTACCTTCTTAAGCCAAGTAAAACCGGACTCAGGTTTCTGTTGCACCCAATAAACCTATCCGGGTTACACATACCTGGTTAGGAACAGATATGCCCCAGCTATTTTATACAACAAATTTACATTTTAAACAATTCTTACTTTCGTTCATGAGGCGTCTCTGTGCTCACTGAGTGATACCTCGTAAGTTTTCTTTGTGAGACCCCTGGAGACCCCTGGGCAGGTTCCGGAGGTTCGTGGCTTTCCACAGGGAAGTGACTCAAGGTGTTTGCACGCCTTCTGAAGGCCTGCTGCGGGGAGAGCGGGGCGGGCTCTTCTGCGGGATGGCTCTCTGAGTCACTTGACAGGTCATCCGAAGAGCCAAGGAGCCTGAACGAGCTCTCAGAGACGGGCAAGGCCTCCTTTTCACACACAGACGGCTCCTGGCAGCAAAGAGACAGTGGATCAGACATCCCACAGGGAATCTGTGGGATTTACAAATCTCTAATCCCAGGGGCAGGAAAACATTTCAATATGTAGGCACATCTGATCATAATCCCATCTAGAGGCCACCAAAAACACAAGGAAATGAAGGCCCGTTAAATGCCTGCTTGTCAAAGACACAATGCCAGTTTGCTGCACAAACAGGGAAACTGCCCAAGTGCAAGTCTAAAAGGACTAAACCAGAACATGTAACTGTTCTAAACAAAACCGAAATAGTTCCCTCTCTCTAGAAAACAGCTCTCTGCTCGTAAGAAGTATAAGGAGGGTTGTGTAACTTGTCTGCACTGTTTAAAGACATCAAGAAGTTCTGTCTCTCTGCCAGCTGTGTTCACACAGGTTACACCCACATTTTAAGGCTCTCTCTGAACTTGACCTAATGCTGAGATTTGGTAATCTTGAGGATTAAAAATTATATCCTACATTATTCTTAGAATATGAAAAATCTCTCTCTCTAGGTACTATTGCCACAATTCTGGGCAAATCACTTAACTTCTTCCTGCACCTCGATTTCCTCATCTGTAAAAGAGGATAGTGAAAATTCATCTCACTGGGTTTCAGAATTAAGAAAGATAACACAACTGAGAGTACTTTATTGACTGTAAAATATTATACAAATATTAGTTATTCTTTTATTAGATACTCAATGAATTTACTGAGGGGGTACTCAAACGTTTGTTGAGAATCGTGACAACAATTTAACACTGCAGGCTTTTGAGATGTGTACTTCTTCAAAGGAGTGAACTGCTACATAACTCATGCACACCGACCCTCAGCACTGCACAGCCAGGACATGCTTGGTGGCCAATATATTTTTCTCAAATCAAAAAATATAAGAGAAAATGTACCAGTTTGTCCCTCCTGGAATTGCTGGAAGGGATAAATAAATCAATATGAAAAAAGGAATAAATGCAGCTAATGGTGGACTGGAGAATCTAAATTCTGTTATTCCAGCTACAGTTGAGTGCCTTTTAGATGAAAGGTATTAAGGATTTTAACTTAAAAAATTAAATTTATGTTTATTGAGGGAAGAGGTTATATACACTTATTTTGTAGGAATTAGATAGGAAAAGCTTAATTCCTAACATACTATGAAATGTTAATTATTTTAAATATAACTGAAATTCTTCATTCTTCAGGACTCTTCAGCTCCAAAGACTTGTAAGGATTTAAAACTTGTCTAGGATCACAGCAAACCACCTCCAGCACGTAAACCTGTTCATCTCAATTCTCATTAACATCCCTCCAAATTATGTGAAAGAGCTACCCTGCTGCTTACTCTTACACCTGAAAGGGCCACTCTGATGTTCAGCTTCTTTGAGACTCCTAGATGATCAATTTATTGGAAGAGACCCAATTACATAAAAAGCATACCTTTACAACAGTTTCTCAATCTCAGGACGAAAAGACGACGTGAAGACGTGCCCATAAAAATACACGTACACCACACACAGGTGGCTTCTGAAAAGTTGCATTTCTCTTAGAATTACCCTAGAAATTCAAGCTATATGTATATTCCTAGATCTGTGTTTTCGAGAAGAATTTTTTAAAAAGCAGTAAGACTTACTGGAAAAGTCACTTGAGTGACATGAATTTCTCTATTCACACTGACCTACCTGGAACACCTTCTTCCCTGTCCACTTCCACAGGTACAACTCCTACACTTTCTTCAAGATTTAATTCAAAAGCATCACTGTCTCCCTCCCCAAGCTTTCCCTAGTTCCACTGATCAAAAGTCACTCCCCTTAGCCCTGCTCCTGCGACTACTAAGTTTCCACCGCCTCTTATTCGAACTCTCAGGGCTCCTACACACTCTACTCAATGCTGGTGTCATCCGAGTATCTGTCATCTCTCTCCGACCAGCTAAGTTCCCACAGGGCAGGGGCTCTGTCCTGTTCATCTGTATACAGCAGATAAACCATGTTTCCAAACTTAAAATGAATTGTGGGGTAGAATCAGTGTGTAGTAGATGGAGGGCAGACGATGCTACTTTCAAGTACATTTTAACTTAGAAAATCACGTTCAGAAGACCAGCATCTAGGGCCTCACTCTCCAAAATGGGTCCACAGACCAGCAGCATCAACATCACCTTGGAGCTTGTCAAAGAGTCAGCATTTCAGGCCTCACCTCAGGCCTACTGAATCGGAAGCTGCACTGTGACCCAGAACCCCATTGAAGGTGCACCTAGAATTTGAGAAGCACTCATCTTATGCAGTGTTTCTCAAATTGTAGAATGTAATGCATTAGTAGGTAGTGATATCAATTTAATGGCTTTCCATTAACATTTTTTAAATAAAAGAGAATAAGAAAATACCATTATGTATTACATGTTGTCTATAGTAAACGTTGTTCTTTGAAATTTTATTTTGCATGTGTGTGTGTTTGTGAATCATCTCACAGTGTTAAAGGTGTTTCTTACTATGGCTTATGATCTAAAAACTTTGAAAGCCACATGCCCAGGAGAGATCTCAGGAAAACTCAGAGTTCCTGTGGTAAGGAGCTGGCCTTCACAAACACTTCCTCTTGCTTGCATCTGAGGGTGCTCCTGTAGCAGAAGGAAAGCTGACCTCTCCAGCACAAAACCGAAATCCACTTTTTGGTGGTTAAAAAGTTGAACTAACCATGTTTAAATATGCTTAAAAGTCTAGAAAGGAAGAAATTAAAACAAAGACATAGACACAGGTTTGTTATGAAAAACAACAGCGAGATTGCTCATTATCACAAAGCTGTGCTGGGTGGCAGATGCAAGGGGCGAAGCTTATTTGCTTATTTATAAAAACAGTAATGTTTAATTATAATCATAGAGCCAGCTAGAGGATAAAGTAAGTTTCAGGAAGTTGAGTGCTTCTAGGAATTCACAAACCCACTTTTAAGATTTTCCCAATTTTAATTATTTTTAACATCGGAAAATATACTTGAGAAAAAAAATCCATTGGCTGCTTGTGATAAATTAGATCTTAGTGGTCTAAAATTGTGGTCTTGTTTCTTTGCCTATGGAATGGCCATCTGCTTTGTTATGTAAAACTTTAATGTTACAGTACAACTGCATGACCAGCCCTCCATCTGCACCCAAAAGTCTGGAAGCACCGAATTTTTCACGATTGGAGCTTCTTTTGTTCCTTTTGATAGGCTCTGTAGATAGGACATGAACAAGACCCATTTGCTGGTTTCTTCAGGGTGTCATATAAAGAAAAATGTGCTTACTTTGCTGGTGTTACTTAATGTGCTGGACACGGAGCTGTCCAGATCCAGACTGGCAGAATGTTCCTGCAGGCCTCTGGCTTTATTACCCTAATAAAGAAAAGGCAGTCAAGTTACGACCCTGAGGCTTCAGCAAAGGTGTCAGCTGGAAATGCCTTGGTCTACTTAAGCTCAGGAAAAATGCATCTACTGAGAAATGCTGCTGAGCACAGACGTACATTAAGACATCAACATTTCTGTCATCTTTTTCTTTTCTTAATAACACACCAACCTAAATGTTCTAAAACACCTTGTGGATTAGTCATTTGGCAGGGATAACAGGCAGGAAGAAGAAACAATTCATCTATGAAGAAAAGCAAGTGCTAAAATAAGCATACTCAGCGACCCTCTCCCCTGTCGTCATAAACCTGCCAGCTGCATGATGCTCAAACATTCCATCCATTTGGGAGCTCTCAAAGGCAGCTCTCCTAACCCTGGTTTTGCAAATGAATGGTTTTTAATTATCTGTAAGGATGCTGCCAAATTCTCAGAAACATCTTCAAACAAAATAAAATTTAACTTTAACTAAAAAAATAAAGTATGTTTCAGATGGAGTGTCATGAAGTCACAAAGAACTATAAGAAGATATTGAAAGGTGTGAAACTTTGAAAAAAAAAAACTGAACCTTCATTTCTTAGAAGTTTCATCAAAGATATTTACACTCATGGGGGGAAGTAATTTCTTAAATACGTCCCAGACTGATGAAGACTTTATTCTTCCTAGAGTTGCAGGTCACAAACTTTTTCTGTAAAGGGCCTGATGATAAATCTTTCATGCTTTGTGGACCATATGGCATCTGTGGCAACTTCTCAACTCTGCACAAACGCAGCCTCAGACAACAGGGGAATGAACTGATGCGGTTGTGTTTCAATAAAACTCATTTACAAAAACAGGAAGTAGGTGCTATTTGCTGACCCCTGCTATAGAGTTCTAGACACATGGCAGCAGCAGCTGACAGTAACTGGATTTTTCAGTTGTGCTTAGTGACACTAGGGAGAATGGCACCCATATCTTGGTGTGTCTAACTCTGCTCTTTATAAGACTGGCCGATGAATGACATTCTTTTGGAAGACAAAAAATTCCGTGGGCTATTGTGTAATACAAAAGAGTGGAGAATTTTTCTAATTCAGGCCAAGTTAAAGACTGAATTTTAAGTACAGATAACACTGTTCTAAGACTGAGAAGACATTTAAAAAGGTTTTACCCCTCTATGATGAACACTGATGGAATAACAGTAAAGAACTGAATCTCATGCTCTCTTAAAAAAGTGACTTAATTTAAATTAGGAGAAATTATGCTACTTACCCGGGACAAAATACTTTCCAAAGACTCTGTTAAAGATCTCTTTGCTTTGTTTTTCAGCATATCTAGCCTAAATCGAGTGGCACTGGGTGCGATTTCACTTCCAATATTCTCTGCTGCAATCTGTGATGTCTAAAAAGTGAAACAATGAAAAGTTAAGTCACTTACACAGCTTCTTTCCCTCCTTCCTCCTTTTTAAAAGGACTGAAAAATCTCTAGGACGCATCCGTATTTTTCCTTTTTTGCTGAGGAGGATTCAGCCTGAACTAATGTCTGTTGTCAATTTTAGGGTGTACCTTTTTGACCCAAGGCTATTATTCTAATTCTTTCTGTGACCTCGTATCATCTACTCCTGGGTGACATGGCTGAAAGTCCAGGAAGTAATTTTGCCTCAAAGAATTGCTATGCCTACTCCAACAAAATGAGGAAATGTGCTTAGAAACCAATCAGTTAATACAGCAGTTCAGAGCTCGGGCTCTGCAACTGGATCAGAGATCTGTCATTCACTAACTGTGCCCTTACGCAAGTTACTTACTTTCTCTGAACTGCAATTTCCTCTTCTGTAAATTGAGACCAACCTCAAGATCTAATCACAACACCGTGTTGTAAGATTAAAACAGGTAAAGCATTGGGCACAGCTTCTGGTACAAAGGTAGCTATGATTAGCTTTTCAAAGTAAAGTAACAACTTACCTTCTGGGGCATTTCAGAGGCTGAGATTTATCTCCTGAAGAATCCATTCTCTCTGCCTGTACTAGTCCCTTCATCCCCTTGTATAGAAAGCTCTCTTCCCTACTTGTTCCACTCTCCTGCCTACTATTTCCATCATCCCTTTCATTCTCCTCTGTAACCAAGCTTCTCTCCCTTAACTGACCATAACAGGAACCTGACAACACAATGGAGTTTGTCTGCCAACCACTAAACGAAGTTTAATGTTACTTATTAACAAAAAGGTATTTTTGTTAAAAAAACCTACACAAATCCTCTAGATTAAATTGTTTCTTACTTCTATAGATTATTACCTGATTGCTTCCTGCTAGATGATGATTTTGTTAGAAAAACACACAAGCACACACATCCTCCATTACAGTAAAAATCAACAACTCTTTTTGCTGTTACATTTTGTGCACCCTCTCCTTTGGCCGAGTTAACATTTTGCAGGTGCTGAGAGCAATGAGGAGCACAGGTTCTGGAGCTCGGTGCCCAGGTGAGGTGCTTCTCTGCTGCTCCCTAGCTAGGTGGCCCTGGGCAGGGTATTACCTGCTGCCCTCCTCAGCTCCTCCACCTGCAGACTGAGGACACCCAAGGAACTCTCCTCACAGAGCAGCTGTGAGGTTTAAATGAGTACACACTAAGGCATGCAGAACATACCTGACACCCAGCAAATGTCAGCTTTCACGATTACTAGCTACTCCATTTATTTCTACTTTTAACAGAAAACATTACAGACGTCTTTGAAGTCTCCTGGAACCACGCTCCTTCCTCCATCCGCAGAAGTAACCCCTCTCCTGAATTTGGTGTTTATCAACTCAAATTTTGCACTTTTATATATATGTATGTATCCATAAAACATATTTGTTGGTTTACATGTAGTTGAAACTTTAAATGAATGTATCATACCGTACATTTCCTTCTGTAATTAGCTTTCTTATAGTCTTGTTTTCTAATTTATCCGTGTTGACAAATGTTCTTTGATTCACTCACTTTAATCAGAGTGTAATATTTGACTGTATGATAACACAATTTATTCATGTTCCTGTTGTTAAACACGATTCCCTTTTCTTGCTTTTACAAAGGAGACTGCAGTAAACTCTCTTGTACATAGCTCCTTATCACACATGTGAAAGTGTGTGCAAGGTAAATAATTAGCAATGTCCTTGCTGCGTCACTGGGTCTGTGCATATTCAGCTGTCAAATTTCTCTCCCTTAAATGATACCAATTCATCTCTTTTACACGATATTGTCAAGTGTTTCAATTTCTGCCAGTCTGATGGGTATAGATGGTCTCTTAATTTGTCTTCTCCTGATTCCTATTATAGTGAAGCATTTTTCATTTTATTCAGTTATTTGCTGGTCAAAGACCTTACATGTTCTTTGAAATAATGAAATCCTAATTCACCAATGAACGTTACACATTTTTCAAGGCATAAAAGAGAAAGAAAAGATTCTGGTAAGAGCTACATTTGGCTTTGTCCGGTCATCCAGAATTTTACTTCTATGAGAACTGGAACATGCATTAAAAGAACTACTTGGCTTAGAACTTTAAGAAGGGAGACTATCACGTATCTTCGTGTTTTCATAGAGTACACTGAGCACACTCTGGACACTTAATACTTGCTTGCTGAAGAAGAAGTGAATAAGCAATGATCACCAGACAGGCCCACAGAAACATGCGCCTGAGGTAACACACTCACTCAACAAATGTTGACTGAGCGCCTGCCCAACCTTGTGCACCATGGGCAGGAGCCTCACTAGTTGCAAGTGGTCCTGTGCAATCATTTCCCCAAAATAAGCCTGTCCAGACTCAAGGCAGCCTCCAGAGCAAAGGGAATTACCCACAAAGGGCCCTCAGCAGCCTGCCTCCGACCCAACGCCAGCTCATTCACAAAGTTAAGAAGCTGTGGATTTGCTTTCAAACTCATAACAAAAGTTTTCATAAAATAGGACCATCTTGAGTTCTGAGACATCAAGAAAATACTAGCTACAAAACTAGTAGCATGTAGTAGATCCCACACAGACAGAAGAAAAACTGCACTTGTGTTTTTCTTTTTTTAAACCAGGCCACAAATATCTCTGTACAGTTAATTCAATGCTGATTCTGCTCTCATCTACCACCTAGTGAGATTCTTTCTATCGTCATAATTCAAGCATAGTTTGAAAATAATTCACATTTAGAAAATAACGCACGTTCAGAATGTAATTCATATTTAGAAAACAGCATATCCCTTGTTTATTTAAAAATAAGCATCTAGAAGTTTCTCCTTTGAAGATGATGCTGGTTCGTGGATAAGTTTCTAACTAGGGCTCTAGAGTGAACTGTACTGCAGTTGTCATATTGCCCATCTCTAGACAGATGGGCGAACTCTGAGCCTTAAAATTTGGAGCCAAGTTTTAAACTGTGATGCTACACTAAAGTTCTCAGGTCAGAACCCACCATCCTGGGGGTCACAGCGTATCTCCTAGCAGCCTTATTCACAATAACTAGCACCTGGAAGTAGCTTAGGTGTCCATTAAAAGGAGAATGGAGAAAAACTGTGGTACTGACACAATACAATAAAAAGAAACAAACTATTGATATACACAACAATATATCAAATGGATGAATATCAGAAATATTATGCCAGAACTAGAACAGCATATACTATATGATTCCACTTATAAAATGTTCTAGAACAGGCAAAACTAATCCACAGTGAAAAAAATTCAAAACAGTGGTTGCCTGGGGGAGGAGTAGTGAGGACTGACTGGAAAAGAGGTACGGCAGTGCCTCCTGGTGTGATGGAGGATGCCCTGTATCTCGACAGGGGTTTGGGCTACCTGAATGTAGGAAGTCCTCAAAACTCAGCATCTCGAAACCTGTGCAGCTTACAATATGTAAATTTTCTCTCCAAAAAATTATGAACAAATACTGACTTCCAGTTAATGATATATATGCTACAGTGTTTAGGGATAAAGAGTACTGATACCAGAAACTTACTTTGAAAGGCATCAAAAATAAGGTACAATAACGATGGACAGATATTTGGGAAAGCAAGTATGACAAAATGCTACAATCTGGATAGTGGCTGTATGAATGCTCATATGTAATTCTTTCAACTTTTCTGTATGCTTGAAATTTTTCATAATAAGATGTCAGAAAAATAGAAAAATTTATCTACTGGAAAATGGACCCAGGCAAATCAATGAGTAGTTATATAACACTAAATTTTGTTAGTTAAACCCCTAAAAAGCATAATAATTAAGATAATGTCCTTGGACCTCAGACACATTGGCCCCACCACTCCCTAACAAACTGCTTGAGCTCTGTTCCCCGTGGCCGGTCTCTAACATCAGTATTATACCCCCACCACAAAAAAGTTGTTTTAGAAGAAACAGAATAATTCATGTCAAGAATTAGAACTGTATCTTGTAAACGGCAAACATTCAATAAGTGGCAGTTGATTTAATATTATTAATTTTTACACCAGCTCTGTGAATACAAGTACAAATGATATGTCCATTCACTAAAACACGACACCCTCTTATTTTATTAATTTATAAGTCTTTGCCCAAAGTGAATCCTTTTCCAAAAGATCAAAGGATTCATTCAGTTTGTTTTCCATTTTATGAAAATGATTCCTCTGACAGCTTTCCAACTGCCATTTTAGTCTTTGAACAGCACGTGCGGCGTCCCCACTGGCTCTGAGAAGTGCTGCCCTGAGTCTGTGCTCATCGTCTTCTGTCCACTTTTGAAGGCCGGTGGCCAGAGAAGTCCACCGTCAAAGCCATGGATCTACCTCTCTCTAGGTCAGATCACAACACATTTTCAAAGGCTACAGGAATTGTTAGGTCCAACAAGGAGGTAATGAAATCCATGTGGTCAAACTATTTGGTAGCGGAAAATGAGAGCAGGACCCTATGTCAAATTTCAAAGCTCCACCTGATCCATCTACCGAGTGGCTGCTGCTCTGAAAAGCCTGGTCCTCAGAGCCAGAGAGGGTGTTCACACTGGGGGCATCCCCACATCTGGGGATCAGGGGAACTCTTTATAGACAAAGACGTGAGCCTCCCAGGTAACAGAATGTTTAGAAACCTCTGGAGAAAGAGCTGCCCAGGAGCCAGTTCTGTTTTGTGAGGCTCAGTCTCTTTTACACTGAATTCTGATTTTTTCAAATGAAACAGCCATTAAATATATTTCCCTGTTGGACTAATCTATGCTCAAATCATAAAGATACTACCCTGTTCCATACAAATTGGGTTCACACTTAGGTCAAAATTTTCCACCCAACATAAATGCTCCATTCCCTTCTAGCACTTATAAATTATTTCGAAATTATCCATTTCCTGTTGGAACAAGTTAGGAGAAAAAAAATCACAACAGGGAAAAATGATTAGGGGAAGAAAAGAAAAAAAATAAAAGGAATGAAAATGAGAAGAGAAATAGTTTGGAAAGCGAACTAGAGAATTAACTGAAAACTCAGACTGGGTGGCCATCCAAAAGTGAACAGGAGTAGCAGAGAACGCCTACGCTCTCTTAAAAGGTACAGGCTGGCAAGGGAGGAATGCCAACACACAATGGCTGAAGGTCAAAAACAGACAGTGTACTGGTGCAGAGTCACTGCTAAGGGACCCTGCCGTCGGCCAATGAGACTGAAAACTATCAGCCACTGTCCATGAGCTTTAAGAGTTCAGGAAAGGCACATGATTGCCAAGGCCAACTGGCAGGTAGAAACCAGATGGGGAGAGTTGCTATGTGAGCCTCCAAGTAAAACTGCGCCATGGTGCGGTTACCAGGACAGCACGGGCTGTTTACAGGGAAGGAGCAAGAGCGAGCACACGACTGAGCATTAAAGCGCCTTTAGACCAAGCATTCAGTAAGTGTCTTCTTAAAAAAAGGCAATATACTTTCGGAAAATTAAAAGATTTTTTGAACATCCTTAACTGATTTTTCTGGCCTACAAGTAACTTAATATAAAACGTATATGTTTTGAAGCTATAATAGTTATTATGAATTGACTTACTCAGAGTCCAAACGATGTAGGAAAACGGTCCATGGCACTGTGTGTACTGAATCCTAACTTGAAGCTCTTCAAAGACAGAGACCTGCAAGTAGCCCCAGCTTCTGACATAGCACCCCACAAACGGAGAAGCTAAATAAGGCTTGTGGACGGCAGAGGACGGCAGGAATTAATGGAAGCTCTACACCTGAATAGCAAATAAACCAGGTGGACTCGGCATCTGCTCTGTCAGTAGCGCTGTCTTACAGCCACATGGCATTTATATCACAAAGAACTTCTACGCACTTTACGTAATTTGGAAGGCAGCTACAAAATGTCACTCCCATTTTACCAGGGAGAAAGGTGAGGTGACAGAGACAGGCTCCCAGTAGCTCGTCATTGCCGTATCTACTCTTAAACTTCATTCTTTTCACCTCACAGAGTTACCTTTTTTTTATGGAGGTCACACTGGTTTATAACATTATATAAATTTCAGGAGCACATCATTCGATTTCAGCTTCTGTACAGACTGCGTCATGTTTACCACCAGAAGTCTAGATGCTTAAACTGCATCCTTGACGCTCTACACCAGTCCTCATGTCAGAGCAACTGCCTAACCCCACGACAACGCAGACAGAAACTTCTCACCTCTTCCAAGCACAATCTAAATATTCCCAAATTTTCCCTCTATGTGTAACAAAGGAAAATAAAATACAGGGAGAAAAGGAGGATTCGGAGCTTCAGAAAATTCCCAAAACTCTGTTTTAATCAGTGTCCTGGTAAAATTATAAGAGATAAAAATGCCATACCTGCTTTGTCTCCCCAGTATGGCTGTGAACTTTCTGTTTCTCCTCATATAAACATCTCAGGAAAGACATAATCAGTTCATTCTCTCGCTGCTCATTTCTTGGTCTCAATTTCTTAAAAAAAAAAAGATTACATTTATTTTTAATTGTCAACAAAACTGCTAAACCATCCCTTTGGAAACGCCAACAGCTTTCATCCATCCATTAAACTAATGCTTTTACCCAGTTATCTCACTAGGGGGCACCAATGTTCCTAAAAGTGGAAACAATTTTTAAAAAGGGAAAATGGAGCCTTTGGGCCAGATTTAACTTTTGACCTCTGCTGTCCTTAAAATAAATATTTCACATCAGATAGAGGCACAGTCAAAATATTTAATAAATAAAAAGTCTTGAAAACAGAAGAAAAGAACAAAATCTGTGTAAACATCAAGAGGTCAAGAGCCATAATGGCTACACATTTATAATTCTTACAGTACAGGAACTGGAAAGGAAAATAGCAACTGGATTCAGGGTCACGGTTCCACATGTCAAATGTGTTTGTCATGACGCACTTTGTGGAAGGCTCACAACGCATGTACTTGTACACAAGATTTCATGGCACGGACTCAATTTCTTTGTTCTTTCTTTCTTTTTAAAAAAATTCTCACTGTGCCTTTTATTTTTCAGGCAGGGTAGTGGCAAAGCATACTGGACTAGAAACCAGGACATGCTGGTTCTAGGTGCCACCAAGAAGTGTGACCAAAGCAAGTCATTTACTCTTAGCTTCCTCATCTGTTCTAATGAAGCTTATACATGAAGTAAACTCCAGGGTCCGTCCCCTCTAGCTCCCAAAGTCTTCATATTTGAATTATCAGAGTTCATTTTTAGAAGACCATCTAACTTAATGTACTATTTTCTCTGAATACGAAAAAAAACAAAACTGAATTACTCTGG